GGGTTGTTCATTGGATTTGAAACCACCAGCCACTTCAGAGGAGAAAGACGAGGCTTCTCCTCCAATAAAGATGGACAGTCTTGGAAACCCACAGGGGCAGTTCTACTCTGTTCTAGAGGGTCCCTGTAAGTCAGAAACAACTTGATGGCAGTGAGTTTGTTTGCTTAAATCATTCCCTAAAATTTCTCTTCACTACTCTGAAAATTCTAGTATTCATTGTTATTCTTCCTGTGAAATGGTTTTGAATTATCTCATTCCCTCAGAATAAGCTCACTTTGTCAATATACTTATGTCAAAACCTGAACCAAATGTTCTAGACCAAGGATCAGCCCACAGGCCAAATCTAGTCCATTGTATATCTTTATTAATAAAGTTTACTAGAACACAACAAATCCATTCAGTTATGAATTGTGCGAGGGCTGTTTTGAACTACAGTGGTAAATTTTATCAGATGAGTACTTTAATACCAGTATTAAAATTATGCTCAGTCAAGTATGGAAAATGTCCTGGAAATGAATGAAAATAGAGAAAATATAAGCAAAGAAATAGAAAATAGAAAATTGATTTTAATAAGATTTTTAACTGAGTGTACTTAAGAACAGAATGTAGATTACAAATAAAAATGATTGCAAATTTGACAATAAGAATAAATTTTAAAATAAGAACAAATGGTACAATCTGAAGAATTGAGAGGGCAGAAAAGATGAAAGGAAAGTGAACATATATATCCTCAAAGACCTGTGAGAGAACACTTAAAAAAATCAAATATATGCTTAATTATAGTCCCAGAAGGAGAAGATATTGAGAACTAGATAGGAAAAAATATATATATTTAAGAAATGACTGAATTTGCCAAATGTGAAGAAAGTTAAAAAAATTATAGATTTATGAAGATCAGTGAATTCCAAAGTAATTCAACCTCACACCTACACATATTACTGAAAACCAAAGTTAAGAAAAATTTTGACAATATGTCTATTATAAAACATGGAGGCTTTGACAATAAAACATAATCTCTAAGATGCTGAAAGAAAAAAAGTCAACCCAAACTTCTGTATCCCGCAATATTCCTCAAGAATGAATATTAAATAAAAGACATATTGAGATAAAGGAAAACTAGAAAAGTTCCAAAACAAGAACTACTAGTAGAATTATATTTCAAATAGACAAACAAAAATAAAACACAGGAAGCTCTTCAGCCTGAAGGAAAATGATGAGACAAATTTAGATCTTCAAGAAAAAAGTGAAGAACATAAAAACTAGTGAATGTGGGGGTCAATATAAAAGAGAGTTTTTTCCCTTAGGCTCTTTTGAACTTTTTAAAAACAGGACTATTTAAAGGAGAGAAAATAAAACACAGTCTTGTCTGTCAGAATATGTAACTGTAATATTAGGAAAAGTTTTTTTTAAGCATTACTACAAAATCATAAAACATCATTAAACAAAAGTATCCAAATGTGAAGCCATTGTTCTCAAAACAAATGTCCTCCCATCTAAGACTACAGACTTTTGAAGGTGGTGTTTCCATCTCTCTAACCTTTCCCTCAAAGAATTCTCTTCAATTTACACATCTTTCAAGGACTCAAACTTTTCCAAATATCCTTCCTTTAACTGTTCTTTGCGTCTGGGAAAACGTAAAAAAAGATGGATTGTTGCTGTTTT